GGCTACTTTAATTCCAGATGAAGCAAATGGCTTGAAGAACGTAGGCACAATGGGGCTTACAAAGAGGAGTGAGAAATACAGATCAACCAGTGCCTAAGCTTAACATGACTGACTGAACCCTATATTTCCCATTTACTGAGATCAACAATACCAGGTTACTTCTGGCCTGGCTGCTAATAACTTGGCCCTCCATCCAACCTACAGCCATGAGACCTTCTGAGATTTAAATTAGCAGGTAATGGCTTGATGACTATCCTTTCCTAGCAGGATAAGGCAAATTTACATTGCTGTAGAGGAGCTTCTGGAAGGCTTTTTATGGTTAATCATTGGTTTCTTGGATAAAAAAAACCTTAATATCAGAGTAAGATGTCTGTTAATTTTCCTATCCAACGCAGCAGACGAGTTAGGGTTGGCCACACTGTTTTTCACACGATCATAACGAAAATGTCTGCCTTACAGCCAAAGAAAGTCCACGAAATGTGCTCATATTTTCCTGATGAATTTGGCATAAATATGGTGCTAAATGCACCCACTAGTTCCAATTTGTTTCTAAATTTTTCACCTTAAAATCCTAAAACCATTAAAGGAGGAGAAATATATCCCTCACCATAACCTTACTGTTTGTATGACCAGCAACACTCAAGCTTTGCCCGCTGAAGCACGGAATACACGAGAGAGCACGCTGAGCGGGAGGCTGGTGGGGTGGGAGCTGACTATCCCGGGCTTCCAAGAGGTTCTCGACTCGGCATGTCGCAACAAACTCCCAGGTGAAGTTGATGCTGCTGATGTGAGAACCACTTTAACTCGGCGAAGACTCCCACGACTTTACCTGCTCGTGCACCGAGAGGCACAGGGCCAGCCCACCTACCCGGCCGTGCAGAAAGCAGAGGCGCCCGCTGGGCCGCGATATCGACCGGGGGGGGGGCGGGAGAACTGCGGCGGCGGCGACAGAAGAGCGGCGGGAGACCCGGGCATAGCCCGGCTACAAAAAGTGGCGCGGCTGTGAGAGCGCTGGACAGCGGAAGCAGAGCCCTAAGCCACGTGAGCTACACCTGGTGCTGGACCAGGCAGGACGCCTACACAAGCAAAACCTCCCTGAAAGGAGCCCCAGGGCGACCAAACATGGCCGTGGGCTCTTAGAGCTGCACTTCCGCTTCCGGTTTCTGGGACCTTTGATGCCAAAGAGGAGGGGTTTCCGTGTGCGGACCCGCACGGCTCCACTTTGAGATTAAAAAAACAAACCAAAACCCAAACCCACTGCCCTCCAGTCGATTCTAACTCATAGCGACCCCATAAGACAGAGAAGAATTGCCCTACAGGATTTCCAGGGTGCGCCTGGTGGATTCAAACATGCCAACTTTTTGGTTAGCAGCCCTAGCTCTTAACCAATACGCCACCAGGGTTTCCACTTAAGATTAGCCAATGGTTAATTTTCTAGTCTTTCAGTTCTTTCAGCTTAAGAAATGCCCAGCAAGTTCTTCTCTTTTGGTTTTCTAACTCCAAGTCTTTGCACATGTCATTATAATACTTTGTCTTCTTTGGCCGCTCTTTCAAATCTTCTGTTCAGCCCTTTTACTTCATTTCTTCCATTTGCTTTAGTTACCCTACGTTGAAAAGCAAGTTTCAGAATCTCTTCTGACATCCATTTTGGTCTTTTCTTTCTTTCCTATCTTTTTAATGACTTTTTGCTTTCTTCATGTATGTTGTCTGTCATGGATTGAATTGTGTCCCCCAAAAATACCTGTCAACTTGGCTAGGTCATGATTCCCAGTATTGTATGGTTGTCTACCATTTTGTCATCTGAGATGATTTCCCTATGCGTTCTAAATTCTATCACTATGATGTAATAAAATGGATTAGCGGCAGTTATACTGATGAAATCTACAAGATTAGTGTCTTAAGCCAATCTCTTTTGAGACATAAAAGACAGAAGCAAGCAGTGAGACGTTGGGACCTCATACCACCAAGAAAGCAACGCGAGGAGCAGAGCATGTCCTTTGGACCTGAGGTTCCTGCGTGGAGAAGCTCCCAAACCAAGGGAAGACTAATGCATCACAAGGACCTTTCTCCAGAGCCAACAGAGAAAGCCCTCCCCTGGAGATGACACCCTGAATTTGGACTTGTAGCCTACTAGACTGTGAGAGAATAAATTCTCTTTGTTAAAGCCATCCACTTGTGGTATTTGTGTTACAGCAGCACTAGATGACGAAGACAATCTCCTCCTTGATGTCAATCTACAACTCGTCTGGTCTTCAGTCATTAGTGTTCAAATGCGTCAAATCTATTCTTGAAATGATCTCAAAATTCAGATGGGATATACTCAAGGTCGTACTTTGGCTCTCATGGACTTGTTCGAATTTTCTTCATCTTCAACTTGAACTTGCATTATGAGTAACTGATGGTCTGTTCTGCAGTCAGTCCCTGGTCCTGTTCTGACTGATGATATTAAGCTTTTCCATAGTCTCTTTCCGTAGCTTTTCCATCCTCTCTTTCCATCTGGGAGATCCACGTGTATAGTCACCATTTATGTTGCTGAAAAAAGGTATATGCTATGAAGAAGTCGTTGGTCTTGCAAAATTCTGTCATGTGATCTCTGGCATGTTTTCTATCACCAAGGCCATAGTTTCCAAGCCTCTTCTTTGTTTCCAACTTTCACGTTCCGATCACTAGTAATTATCAATCATCTTGATTGCATGTTTGATCAATTTCAGACTGCAGAAGTTGGTAAAAATCTTCAATTTCTTCATCTTTGGCCTTAGTGGTTGGTGTGTAAGGCTGAAGAAAAAATTCAAGCTTCAAGTTGCAATGTTGAAGGATTCTATAGGCAAAATATCAAATGACACAGGAAGCATCAAAAAAAAAAAAAAAAGATGGAAGAAATACACAGCCACTGTACCCAAAAGAATTGGTCAATGTTCAATCATTTCAGGAGGTAGCATATGGTCAAGAACCAATGGTACTGAAGGAAGAGGTCCACGCTGCACTGAAGACATTGGTGAAAAACAAGTCTCTGGAATACCAGTTGAGATGTTTCAACAAAGGGATGCAGCGCTGGAGGTGCTCACTCATCTATGCCAAGAAATTGAGAAGACAGCTACCTGGCCAACCAACTGGAAGAGATCCATATTTGCGCCCATTCTGAAGGTGATCCAACAGAATGCAGAAATTATCAAACAATATCATAAATATCATAGACAAGTAAAATTTCACTGAAGAGCATTCAAAAGTGGTTGCAGCAGTACATCAACAGGGAACTGTCAGAAATTCAAGCCAGATTCAGAAGAAGATGTGGAACGAGGGATACCATTGCTGATGTCAGATGGATCTTGGCTGAAAGCAGAGAATACTAGAAAGATGTGTTTTACTGACTATGCAATGACATTCGACTGTGTGGATCATAACAAACTATGGATAACATTGCGAGAAATGGGAATTTCCGAACACTTAATTGTGCTCATGAAGAACGTGTACATAGATCAAGAAGCAGTTGTTCAATCAGAACAAGGGGATACTCTGTCGTTTAAAGTCAGGAAAAGTGTGTGTCAGGGCTGTATCCTGTCACCATATTTATTCAACCTGTATGCTGAGCAAGTAATCTGAGAAACTGGACTATACAAAGAAGAACGGGGCATCAGGATTGGAGACTCATTAACAACCTGCTTTATGCAGATGACACAACCTTGCCTGCTGAAAGTGAAGAGTACTTGAAGCACTTACCGATGAAGATCAAGGACTACAGCCTTCAGTATGGTTTACACCTCAACATAAAGAAAACAAAAATCCTCACAACTGGACCAGGAAGCAACATCACGATTAACAAAGAAAAGATTGAAGTTGTCAAGGATTTCATTTTATTTGGATCCACAATCAATGTCCATGGAAGCAGCAGTCAGGAAATCAAACCACTTACTGCATTGGAAAAATCTACTGCAGAAGACCTCTTTAAGGTGTTGAAAAGCAAAGATGTTATCTTGAGGAATAAGGTGTGCCTGACCCAATCGCCTCATGTGCATGCGAAAGCTGGACAATGAATAAGGAAGACTGAAGAAGAATTGATGCCTTTGAACTATGGTGTTGGAGTAGAATATTGAATATACCATGGATTGCCAAAAGACAGAATAAATCCATCTTGGGAGAAGTACAGCCAGGATACTCTTTAGAGGCAAGGATGGTGAGACTACGTCTCATGTACTTTGGACATGTTATCAGGAGGGACCAGTCCCTGGAGAAGGACATCGTGCTTGGTAAAGTAGAGGGTCAGTGAAAAAGAGGAAGACCCTCAACGAGATGGATCGACACAGCGGCTACAAAAATAGGCTCAAGCATAGCAACAATTGTGAGGATGGCGCAGGACCGGGCAGTGTTTCGCTCTGTTGAACACAGGGTCGCTATGAGCCGGAGCCAGCTCCACCGCACCTCACAGCAATTTTCTACTCTATTTGCGCCTTAAGACTTCATTGTAAGTAACCTAAAACAGGTCCTTTCATTTTTCTTTCTCAAAGTTAAGGTCTCCCTGTATGCATACAGATTAATTCCTCAAATAAGCCCTATAAGCTTTACTTTCTTTGTGCTTTGATTATTTTTGACACTAACATCTGAAAAATATCCAGAGCTTTGATCAGTGAAACAAATATTTATCGGACGGTTATGTCCCGGGCACCATGTCTGGTTGGTAGCAAATACAACAAAAGGGAGCTGTTATCTTTCTTACCACATAGAGTTGTTGGGACTGTCAAATGCGAAAAAGAACGAGTAAGAGTTTCAAGCATTCACGTGCTGGGTAAAAAGCGTAAATATTACATTGTGCCTGGGCCATTCTAGGCCCTTGGTGCGCGGCAGTAAAGTGTCAGCGCCCGGGCGGAACTGGTCACGGAGGAACCTTTCTTCCTGCCTTCGGGTGTCGGGTCTCGCCCGGCAGGGAATGCGTCAAGGACCGCGCCGCGCCGCCGCAGTCGGGCCTCGGTGGCCACGGTAACGCACGCGGGGTAGGTGTCCCCAGCATGAGCGCCCGGGTCGCACGGGCGGCGTGGGCGCGGTGTTGGGGCGTGGGCTGCCACCGCCGCGCCTCCAGACTCCCGGTGCCTCCGCTGGGCAACGCGGGCGTGGCCGAGCTGCTGCGGGACGCGGCGGCGGTGGAAGATGCGCCCTGGGAGGCGGCGGCGCGGCGGACCCCGGGCCAGTGTTCCGTGTTGCTGTTTCCGGGCCAGGGCAGCCAGGTGGTGGGCATGGCTCGGGGCCTGCTCCGCTACCCGCGCGTTCGCGAGCTCTACGCCGCCGCCCAGCGCGTGTTGGGCTACGACCTGCTGGAGCTGAGCCTGCGCGGGCCGCAGGAGGCCCTGGAGCGCACCGTACACTGCCAGCCTGCCGTCTTCGTGGCTTCGCTGGCCGCCGTGGAGAAACTTCATCATCTGCAGCCGGAGGTGAGGCAGCGCGGGAAGGTGAGCCCTGCCCGAACTCGTACGGCCCGGCAGGGGCCCACCCGGCACTCACCCGGGGCTGTGCTCCGCACTTCGTAGACACTGTTGCTGTTAGGTGCCGGCTAGTCGGTTCTGACTCACAGACACCCTGGTGTAACAGAACGGAACACTGCCCAGTCCTGCGCCATCCTCACCATGGTTGCTGTTTGAGCCCATGGTTGCGGCCGCTGTGTCGATCCATCTCATTGAGGGTCTTCCGCTTTTTCGCTGACCCTCTACTTTACCAAGCACGACGTCCTTCTCCAGGCACTGGTCCCTCCTGATAACGTGTCCAAAGTAAGCGAGACAAAGTCTTGCCCTCCTCCCTTCTAAGGAACATCCTGGCTGCACTCCTTCCAGGACAGATTTGTTCCTTTTTCTGACAGTCCGTAGGATACTTAATATTCTTCACCAACATTATAATTCAAAGGCATCAGTTCTTTTTCTGTCTTCCTTATTCCTCGTCTAGCTTTCAGATGCATATGAGGCGATTAAAAGTATCATGACTTGGGTCAGGCACACCTTAGTCCTCAAAGTGACATCTTTCCCCTGTCTTGCTTTTTAAGAGTTTCCAGAGGTCTTTTGAGCAGATTTGACCAACGCAGTACATCATTTGATGTTTTTGGCTGCTGCTTCCATGGGCATTGATTGTGGATCCAAGTAAAATGAAATCCTTGACAACTTCAGTCATTTCTCCGTTTATCATGATGTTGCTTGTTGGTCCAGTTGTGAGGATTTTTGTTTTCTTTTTGTTGAGGCGTAATCCATACTGAAGGCTGTGGTCTTTGATCTTCATCAGTAAGTGCTTCAAGTCCTCTTCACTTTCAGCAAGCAAGGTTATGCTAGCTGCATATTCACCTGGTTCTCTCAGCAGCCTTGTGAAGTAGGTCCTGCTCTTCCCCCCATTTCACAGATAGATAACTGAGGTGCAGAGAGCACAGGAGCTCTCATAATCTGAGGTTCAAATCCGGGTCTCCTTGATCTGAAAGTCATGCTCTTAACGTCTACGCTTCACTCCCTCTGGCTCCACTTGGCCTGAGAGGCAGCTCCAGGTCAGAGTCAGGGTCTGGGCTGGAGAATCCAGAGTCCTGGGTTGAAGTCACAGCCACACCACAGGGGAGTCAGCCAGGGCTTGTCCTTGCCCTCTCTTGCCCTGCCTGGAATTTCCTCATCAGTGAAGGGGCTGGACTTGGTGATCTCCGAGGCCACTTCTGTGTGTCCCCTTCCAGCTGGAGCACCAGGCCAGCGGGGCCCGGCTCACTGAGCCCCTGAACACCCGTCCAGCTCTCAAGCACAGAGCCCCAGATTGAGCTCGCCCCGAGATCTCACGTCCTTCATCTGTCTCCACAGGCCATTGAGAACTGTGTTGCTGCTGCTGGATTCAGCGTGGGAGAATTTGCAGCCCTGGTGTTTGCTGGAGCCATGGAGTTTTCTGAAGGTACCCGGGAAAGGGTTTGGTTTCATGCAGGGCTGAGGTCTTGCTGGGCTCTCTGGGGACATAAGTCACTGCCAGAAATGGTAGTGGACGCATTCTGGGGTGTTTGGAAGGATGCACATGGATGGGAATGACATTGGAACCCTACGACCAGGCATCCCCTTAAATTAGAGGATTTCCTTTTAAAATTTTCTTGTGACATCTGTTTGCTTGGCTGCCTCAGCTACTAGCATCCTCATTCCAGTGACAGCCCCATGCCTCGCACATGGAAGGTGCTCGATAGACATTCATTGAATGAAAAATGGGTAAATGAATGTTTACCCTTGAACCATATCAGTTTTGCTTAAGATTTTTGTTTATAGTTAAAACAGCATTACAGCTCTATCAAGGAAAAGACGAAAGTTTTATATTTCCATATCTTATTAAAAGTATGCTGTGATGCGTATACTTACGTGTATACATAATTTCTCAGGGTTTTAGCATATTTACAGCGTTGTGTTTGGTTTTTTCACTTGACACGTGTTCGTACTTACTGCTTTGATGCCTGATGGGTCGCAGGAGGATTTCCACAGGTACTCTCCAGATTCCCTGGGTGTTTTCTCCTACTTCCTACACGCGTTCTAACGTACTTGGTCTGCAGTTGCGCTTGTCTCAGGGGCTGAAAGACCAACACAAACACATGTGAGTGTGGAGTGAATGAGGATGTGTAAAGAGAAAGGCTCAGGGTTTGCTCCCTGGACCCTTGCAGCTGTCCCATCAGACCCTGGACGGCTCCCTTCATCTCTCCTTGGCCTGGTCAGTCCCCCAACCCCCAGCCCATGTCCCTAGAGAGGAGGACCAGGATGGTGGCTGTCTGGTCCTTATGGGGCATTCTTACATCCCGAGATCATTGGAGCCACTGCCCAGGCCCAGCCCTGTGCTCTCCGCTTGCACGTGAGCCGCGCTGAACGAGGACCCCGCCGCTTCAGTTCATCTGCCTTGCTGGTGTCAGCTTCTCCAGCTTGAAATGGGGAGTAATACTTGATTCATGATGTTTATGTCAGATTTAAATTCGTGTGTTTTCTTGTAGTTTGCACAGCTGCCCACCTATCTAATGGTTCTTGTTTTTCCTGTTCAACATGACCTCTTAAATAGCAAACCAATTATTTAATAGTACCCAATCTTCACAACAACCCAGGCAGAGTGTATGTCATCATCCTCATTTTACTGATTAAATGTTTTAACTTGGAAGTGGCTGTGACCTGCCCCAAGCAGTATAGCTCAGCATCTGCTTCTCCTCACCCTACTCCAGTGGTCTCATCAGTGGCAGTGCTGACACTTCACACTGGATGATTCTTCATTGTGGGGACTGTCCTGTGCATTGTAGGATGTTGTGCCATCCCTGGCCTCTACCTGCTAGATGTCAGTTGTGACAACCAAAAGGTCTTCAGACATTATCAACCGTCCCTGGGGGCAGAATCACCCCCAGTCGAGAACCACTGCCCAACACCAAACCAGCTTCTAAGGGGGGAACCTGCTTGGGTTGACTTGTAGAGTGCCAGGGACAGCTCCCTGATTGGCTGGTTGGTTAGTTGGTGGGTTTTTTTTTTTTAACAACCTGATTTTTGATGGTAGAGGTTACATCTCAGTTAATTAAATGCCTTTGTGCAGCACTCCGTGGTATGTATATGAGAGAGAGAGAGATCGTGTGTGTGTGTGTGTGTGTGTGTGTGTGTGGTGCAGATGATGTGGACCTGTGCCCTGGCAGGTTGGCAGTAACCCCGAGGTCAGCGTCTCCCACGCAGCAATGTGGACCTTGTGCTTTGTCTTTCAGGTCTGGGCCTCCCTCCTCCATCCCAGGTCCTGATCTTCCCAAATGCACTTCTCTCTGGGTAGGTTTGTATGCAGTGAAAATCCGAGCTGAGGCCATGCAGGAAGCCTCGGAAGCTGTCCCCAGTGGGATGCTGTCTGTCCTCGGCAAGCCCCAGTCCAAGTTCAACTTCGCCTGCTTGGAAGCCCGGGAGCACTGCAAGTCTTTGGGCATAGAGAACCCCGTTTGTGAAGTGGCCAACTATCTCTTCCCTGACTGCAGGGTGATTTCCGGACACCTAGAGGTGGGTGTTGACAGGAATGGCTTCCACGGACCCCAGTCTTTGGAGATCTGGGAGTTAACCAGTGTGCAAGGATGAAGTCATTCCACACCTGGAGGCCACAGCGGGGTAGTGGGTGCCCTTCCAAGCCATGGTCTTTCGGGAGCATTTGGGGGCTGGGGAGTGTGTGGTACAGAGAACCTGGCAGTGGGAGACCAGGATACTGTCCCCTCTCCACACACCGACAGACCTTGAGCAGACTGCCCAGCCTCACGCATAAAGTAGGGCCAGACAATCGCCAAGGCCCCCGCTGTGGTCCATTCTGGGCCCCTCATGAGCCTCTGCTCTGATTGTTTCCTGAGAGAGAGGAGAAGCCATTTTCTCTTGGTTCCTTTTCTTGCTGCTTTTTCTTGGGTGTCTGTATTTGTACCTGAGTTTATCTGTCATTTTCTTTCCTTCTGTCCTTCCTTTGTTCACTGCTTGTCGAAACACCATTTATTGGCACCACCTCTGTAACAAGTAGCAAGGGTCCCAGACCTTTCAGCCATGGCTGCTGGCCTCAGAAGATGGGCCGTGAATGGCTAACTCCAGGGTCAGGGGCAAAGGGACGTGGCAGGGCCTGAAGGACAAGTTTGCCAAGATGAGGGGCATCCCACGCAGAGGGACAGGGAGCCTGTGATCGAAAGGGCACTCTGTACTGAGGACCTGCCTCGTGCCAGCCCAGAGAATACTGAAGGAAACACAGACAGGAGCCCACAAGAGGGCAGCCTGCATAGGGCCAGGGTTTTAGGTCCCCTGGTTACCCTCGCAGCCAGCCCAGTGTTGAGCGGAAAGGATTCTTCCTCATTTTGCACATGAGGCTGAGGCAGAGGGGGGCATGTGCTGGAAGGTGGTGGGAGAATTTGCATCCAGTCCATTCGATGCTGGAGTCTGTTCCCTGCACTCGACCATGCTTGCTTATTCTCCCTGTAAGGCCTCAGCTTCGCTCTCCCCGCGAGGCCTCGGCGTCGCTCTCCCCGTGAGGCCTCGGCTGCATGCAGGTGTTCTCCCAATCAGTGAGGGCCACCAGGCCCCTCTTGTGACAGTTCTGAGGTGATGGGGTTGGGAAGACCAATTACAGTTGGTTTCTCGTTCCTACTACAGCCTTGGAAAGGAGGCCAGAAGTGGTTCAGGAGGGGTGCCGCAGCTAGGGCAGGACCCTCTCCCACAGGCTCTGTTTTAGGCTGGGTTCTCTAAATGAGCAAAACCAGTGAAGCATATATATAAATGGAGAGATTTACTTCAAGGAAATGGTGCACACAATTGTAGGGGCTGGAAGTCCCAAATGCATGGCTCAGGTGGCAGGCTGAATGCTGCTTCTGATTCACGTGGTTGCAGGGGCTGACATACCAAACTCTGCAGGTCGGGTGGCAGACTGCTGGCTCAAAGGGTTGTGGGAGCTGGTGAATCCAGAATCTACAGGTCAGGCAGCTGGCCAATAGCTTTGCCAAGAACCAGAGGGCAGGCCATGAGACGAGTGCAGGATCGAGAGAGAGGGTGAGCGTTGCCAGAACATCCATAGATACTGGATAAAGGCCACACTCCCAAAGAAACTCCCCTTCCAACTCATTGGCTGCTCACATCAGATTACAAAATGAAGGAGTATTACATAATATCTGCCAAACCACTAAGAATCATGGCCTAGCCAAGTTGACACATAGCAGTAACCATCACGGGCTCCCAGGCAGGTGGGCATCCAATCCAGATGACAACTCCTGGGACTCGCAGGTTTGTCCTTTCAGAGCCCTTGGAAGTACCACAGCAGAGAGCTCAGGTAGGGGCAGGTACCCCTTAGCAGGGGGCTCAGGAGAGGGCAGCCCCTCTCCAGCAATGGATGTGACCAAAGCTCCTTGGCCTTGGCTAGACCAATGTCCACGTGAGAGCTCACCCCGGAGGAGCCTGCTGGAGCCCAGGACGCTGGCCTTGATGCCTGCGGCCCTACCTGTCACTTGAGCTGGCTCAGCTGTTGAATGAGTCCAGAGACCCTGTCTGAAAGCACTTGGAGGCCACAGAAATGCCACAGGAAGTGCCACGGAGGAGCGAGGCGGGGGGACGTGGCCCTTGGTAAGGTGGACGGACGTGACACTACCTCAGTCGGGACAGGCTAGATGTGGCCACAGTGACAAACAGCCCAGACACTCCGGTCAGCGTGCAGCGTGCGTGCTCACTGGGACGGGCTCTGCTCACTTCCTTTCCACTCCAGGGCCCAGGCAGCAGGGCCTGCCTCTGTGGAGTGCTGACTGACTCACAGCAGAGGGAACATGGACAGAGTGAACCACAGGCCGGCCCTCAGAGCCCCTGTCCATGCATTGTTGGCCAGCCTGGGCCTGCGGGGAGTCCTCCTGCAGAAAGAGGCCACAGAGTGAGCAAGCGCCATCTGACCAAAAATACTCATCCCCCCTACTCTTTGGGACAGAGGCAGCCACCGTTTTTCCTTTTTCTTTTCCTAGTAGACATGACTGTTTTCATATAGAATAATTGCCAACCCTTTGATAGCGCTCGAGTGCCAAGTGTGGTTCCCCCCATAGCCTTGTAAGATAACTTCTGTCCTCCCCACATTATAGATGAGGGAGCTTATCTATATTTTACACAAAGGGGTAAAGTAAGTTGCCTGGGATCTGCAGCTGATGAAACCACTTTAAGTCTGAAATAAGTCTCCCTGGGATCAGCTCATAGGTGGCCGGGCACCTGGGCAGGCCGTGGGTGGTTTCAGGCTCAAAGGACTCATTTTGCAGAGCTGAGAGTGTCTGTGCACTGGAAGCCCTTCAGCAGACCCCGATAGAGACCCATGTCGCAGGCCCTGGGCTGTGTCCCCAGGGCACAGGGTCTCTTACAAGAATAACTACTATTTTAAAAACCTTTGCAAATTACGTCATTTGTTGTTCAAACAGTTTCGAGTGTTTTGGTCTGTTGACTGGCCCCTGAGACATTTTCTGAGCCAGGTGGCCATCAGGGGAAGGCTTTGGGCTTGGGGGAAGAGCTCTTTTCTATATAGAAAAACCCCAGGTGAGGGTGACCACATCCCGAGGGTTCTGACGGGGAAGGCCCTACCTTGTGAAGTGAGGCTTAGATTTTCATCCTTAATTTTGACCTTGAAGATTGTGGAGTAACGAGAAAATAGGCTTGTTAGAAATTACGAGGGGGTAAGGGGATCATAACTGGAAACTGACACGAGATGGTGGTTTTTTGTTTATCAGACAACTTACACATCTTGTCTGCTGTCATCGGCCCAGAGGCCTTGTGAAGTAGGTGGAATTGTGCTCGTTCTGCAGATGAGAAGAAAGGACCAAAGAGGTTAAGTGTCTTGCCTGGGCTGACCGAGCTAGTGGTGACAGTGCAGGGGCAGGTGGCCACGTCTCCTGCGGTGGCTTTCTCAACCCTTCTGCTGTCTCCTGCCCAGGTGGGCGTGTGAACTGTCAGGTTCCTTGAGGAGAACTTCTGTGTGGCACACTGTTGGAATATGCAGCTGAATTTTAACCGGAACTAGAGCCGGGAGTGAAGTTGGTCACCTAGAGCTGGAGCCGTGAGTGACATTTGTCACCCAGGGCTTTGAAGGGTAAATGCCCGCGTGGACGAGCAGGACATGCACATCACACACCCAGGACAGGGGCGTGGTGGTGCCAGGGCTGGTTTTTGCCTTCGTGTTTCTTCCCCCATGATCTGCTGCCTAAACGTCCTCTCTGTTCCAGGCCCTGCAGTTTCTGCAGAAGAATTCCTCGCGGTATCATTTCAGACGCACCAAGATGCTGCCGGTGAGCGGAGGGTTTCACACCCGCCTTATGGAGCCTGCCGTGGAGCCCCTGACGCAAGTGCTAAAGACAATCGACTTTAAGGAGCCTCTGGTGTCCGTCCATTCAAACGTCCATGGAAATAAATACACACATCCAAAACACATCCAGAAGCTGCTAGTGAAGCAGCTCGTCTCCCCAGTGAAGTGGGAGCAGACTATTCGTGCCATATATGAGAGGAAGAAGGGCACTGAGTTCCCCAAAACCTTCGAGGTGGGTCCGGGGAAGCAGCTGGGAGCTGTCCTGAAAAGCTGTAACCTGCAGGCTTGGAAGTCCTACAGCCATGTGGAGGTGCTGGAGGCCGACGAGGCCCAGGACCTGTAGGGGTCCCCCCGCAAAGCCCCGGGGCGTCTGGGCTTAGGGGGCAGGAGGCACTTCCAGGGGACTAGTCTGTCCAGCCTGTGCTGTCTGCAGGGGAGAGGGCTGGGCTGTACCTGCACTGCCTTCTCAATAAGGAGCAACAGATGGTTTGCAAAGGCTCTTGAGTCGCCACATAAACACTGAAAGTGAGTATTTCTCTGCAGGAAACAGTCATTTTTTTCCCCTTGGAGAAACGCTAGGGAGAAAAGATGCAACAGTGCTGTTCTGTGAAGAGACTTTGCTGACACTTGCTGTGCCTCTGCCAGCGTCATCCCCTTGGGCAAACCACACCACCGCTTGGGCTCAGCTTCCTTGTCTGGAACCTGGGCTGGAGCGGGTTGTCCTAAGGGTCAGTGAGGTTGTTTGTTAAGGCCCCTGGAAGGGGCACACATCAGGCCAATAACCAGAGGACCAAAAGCCCTTCCATCACACTGCCCAGCGGCCTGCCGGTCACCCAGGGGCAGAACCTCAGCCCCTTTGTCATTGAGTCAGAAAGAATTTAGGACCCCAGCTGGTCTTGGCAGCCATTCAGTCGGCCCCATTGCTTCACAGGTGGGAGACCAAGTTTCACATGAGATCATTTATCCAGCAGATACTTATTGAGCGCCTGTTGTATGCCAGAGAGCGAGCGGCCTCTGCCCTGGTGGGGAGCAAGCCGTGAGGCATGCCAGGAAGGGTCCTAACCCCCAGAGCTAGCCCCAGCTTCCTCACCGGGAGACCGTTCCCAGTCCCTCGGAGCCTTCACTGAGCGCCTGCTGTGTGTGTGACCCAGTCAGGCCAGGCCTGCCCTCAGACTCCTGAGAACACAGAAGCTGCTCGCGTGGTTTTTCATTGTTTGTTGATAGCAGGAAGACGTCATTGGGAATGAAATCTCTTTGAGTTGGTCTTAAGTTAAAATGTTACTATCGTGTGGACACATGTCAAATCCTGGATAGGGAGTCTTTGTTGTTGTTGAGAATACACACAGCAGAACATACACCGGTTCAACAGTTTCTACATGTACAATTCAGTGGCATTGATTACATTCTTCCAGCTGTGCGCCCATTCTCACCCTGAGCTGTGTTTTGAGTTGTTTCTCCCCCATTAACAAACTCACTGCCCCCTAAGGTTCCTACCTAATCTCAGGAGTTGCTGTTGTGAATTTGATCCCGTATAGATAGTTCTTAAAAGAGCCTTTGGGCAGAACCATTCTGGAACTGGCAGAACCTGTATGGAACTGCCCCATGCTTGCAATCCTGAACCCTAGTCACTACATGTCACTAGTGCTCCCAGGTGTGACCCCAAAATACATCTCCCCACGTTTCTACACGCCTGGCTGGGAACCACGGCAGATGTTAACAGAGAGCCTGGTGTTTACCACGTTGTGTGTTTGAGTGTCCTTTGGAGCACAATGAGGAAAGAACTATTTCTTAAAACTTTATTTCAGAAATCTTCAAGCATTCACAACAAACTTAAAAAAAAAAACTTTCCCAGGTTCATTTGAGACCCCTTCACTGAGTGCTGTATGCGGCGGGCGGCCTTGGAAGGGGCCGCTGTCCGCAGCCCAGGCCCCGGCTCTGGCCGTGAGCAGGTAGGGCAGTGCCTTAGGGTTACGGTTAGCTCTGGGGAAGAAAACCTCCAAGGCAGGGAAGTGTCAGAGAGAGGTTTTCTCTTTCATGTGGGAATTGGGGGTGTCGTCCTGAGTGGGTTCCCCTCCCCCTTCCCCCGCCTTTCCCTCAGGGTCTGAGGTGGTTCTTTCGTGGGTCCATCCATATTCCAAGCTGCAGGAAGGGGGAGGAAACAGCAAGCAAAGGTGCATGATGCTGTCTTAAGGAAGCCTGAAAGCTGTCACAATTCTGCTGAAAATGCAGGAAGCACCCAGAAGGAGAACCCAAAGGTGAGGAGGCTGGGCTCCACCTCTCAGGACAGGTTGGGGACAGAGGGGCCCTCTTCCTGCCCTGAGCTCCTGTTGACTGCTGCATCTGGAACGAGTGGCACAGGGTGGTGAGGGGGAGTTAGCCCCCAGCTTCCTCCCTCTGTATTGCTCCTTAGTGGGGAATCTTGGCAGATTACTTCCCCCTTACAGAAGATAGTGATGGATGATCCCAGGCCGCTGGCCCTCCCATGGTGGGAATTGGCTCCTACCCCTCCGTCTTTGGGTCCCATGTCCACGGAGGCTTTGGCCTGTTTCTCCTCAGCCACTTAATTACTTCCATGTCCACCTGGAATACTGGCGGTTCTTTGTCACGCTCCTTCCTGGTCTTCTCCTTCAGGAGGCTCAGATATTGGCTCCACAGATCCTGATGGGGCTAGGGGTCTTGTTAAAATGTCTTTGAAACAAGTTTTAAGACAAAATTATTTCCTCTGAGGCAACAACTTGGCTGCAGGCAGAGAACACCTGGTTGCTCAGTGCAGCCAGGGCTTAATGAGCCCACCTCTTCCACAGTCCAGTCATGCAGTGAACCCGATGACCCTGACGCCTCCACAGCTCGTCACCTCTGAGAAGGCCAAGGACAGCACTTCCAGATGGGATCCCACCCCCACAGGCCCAACCTGAGGTGCCCAGGACCAGGGGTCTGTGTGTCCCCATGCTGTAGGGACACTGGAGAGACAGGGTTGGCATTCTGTGGAAATTCTTTATAAATCATTAGCCAGTGGGCACTGCATGTCACCCCTTCCTCCCTGGGAGGGACAGGCCTCGGTCTTCTTTTTGGGGTGGGGAGCCAGCCCAGTATCTTCACTGACCCGAGATTCAAGCCAGTGTCACTCCGGAGGAGAGCTGGGTTCCAAGCCTCCTCCATGCAGGGGCAGGGCTGTGGTTCAGGCAGGTGCAGTCCAGGGAGGCAGCAGCTCTGGCTGCAAAGTAGTGCGGGAGTTAATCCTCCCACAAAGCCTAGCGGATGGCTGCGCCCATCTCTCAGAGCAGCCCCAGGCCCTCCACCGGCCAGCAATGGGTGGGCCCGGCTTGGACGCAGATCGGTTGGTTCTAATGTTGCTCCTTTGTGAGAAGCATACCTTCCAGGCCTGAAACCTTGACAACCCTGTAAGGAGTTGTGCCACTGTCCTCATTGTCTGGATGAGGAAACTGGCCCCAGAGAGGCCAAGTGGCTTGTCCAGTTACCAGCTGACAGAGGGCTCCTACAAGGGTTCGGGTAGGGTTTGAACCAGCTATTGTCTGATCTGCCTGCCATACCGGGAAGAAGACCCACCTTGCACAGCCACCTCCCACCGGAGACCCCCGATGGCAGAATGGAGGGCTCCCGAAGATGCTCCTGGCTGCCTGGGTGCAGGCCTGAGGCTGTGGAATCCTGCTGGGTGTACCTGGGATGGACGCTGGGGGGTAATTGGAGGACCTCGCAGAAGCCACCTTGCCCAAACCTGAGTGTGGCATAGAGCACCCGGGGAGGGGAGCAGCACCGTGAGGCCTGGCCTCAAACCTTACTTGCCCTCTGATTTGGGAGGAGTTATGTGTCTGTGTGCCTCAGTTTTCCAATCAATAAAATGGGCTAATAATGCTCACACTGTCGTGAGGATTCGCATACAAGGGAAAGGCTGATGTGGAGGTGAGTGTCCCCCTCTCTCTTCCCTCACACTCGTTGGGGGAAGTGGTGCGGGCTCAGTATGAAAACTGGGTGAGTGGAAGATGCACTGCCCGCCGTGGGGCGTAGAGCCCTGAGACGGAGCAGAGTGGGGGAGCGTGGCCAGACCGCGACGCTGTCATCTGAATGAAGTGCATGAACGGGGCTCAGTAAAGCTACTCTGCCCCCTCTCCTGACTATGTGAGGGACCCCGGTTCTTTACCAATGACAATTCCCACCCCACTTAAGCCCTCCCGCAGCCACAGTCTCCACGGCGTCTGACCCGGAAGCAGCCTCCCACTCCTTCCGGTGCTGCCCCGCAGCTCCTCGGGGGCGTGGTCTCCCTTGCTGCCGTAAACTCCACAGATCCACCTTCTGGTAAACCTCAGGGGTGTTTTCGGTGGCCTTTGATCAGTGGTATTTAACGGGGGTGACCCTCAGGAGGGCCCATGGCCAGGCGGAGTGCCGGGACCAGGGCAGCGGAGGAGGGCAGGGGGACACAGGGCCGAGGACTCCCTACGTCATCCACATGGTGGCGCTGTGTGCCCAGTCTCTCGCGGGCTCAAGGCCCCGCTTGGAAACCGGCGGAGGAAACGCTGAAGGCTGGTCGCCCCGCTCGGCTGGGCTGTCCGTAAACTCTGTTTGGAAGGGACAGTCTCCGGCTCCTCTGTGCATTAAGGAAGGAGATGCTCTCAGTCAGACTTGGGCTCCACTTGTCTCACTGGGATCCCTGGTGACGCAGTGGTTAAGCGCTCAGGCTGCTAACCAAAAGGTTGGCAGTTCGAATCCACCAGCCGCTCCTTGGAAACCTTATGGGGCAGTTCTACGCTGTCCTATAGGGTCTCTCTGAGTCCCATCGACTTGACAGCAACGGTTTGGTTTTGTCTTACTGAGCCCCTCGTGGGTGTCTACGTGGGGCTGACCTTGACTCCTGATTCGTTTCCGTGTGTTTAACCTCGGGTAGACAGCATGCCCAGTGCCCACCAGACACCATGTGCCCACCCTCCTAAGCAGACGCCTGGGGTTGAGGGATTCCCTGCTGGGGGAGGGGCAGGGTGTGACAGGGATGGGACAAGCGCCAGAAACAACTGTGGGAGCTTTGCCACAACAGCCCTGACCCTCTGGGGGCCCCAGCATCCTCACTTGCCTGATAGGGGCTGCCGTCGACAGTGGTGGGCAGAGGATCCTGATCAAACTGGGATGAGAGGATCCAGCGTGACACCAGGCTGACTGGCCTCTCACCAGGCGCTCGGGGTGCCGTGGTCAAGTCTCTCCCTGTCTCTGGGCCTTAGTTTCCCACTTGTGGGATGAACTGCCTGGAGTAATGCCACTGAAGTGCCAGCCCAAGGAGACAGCAGCTGCATCGGCTCTGGGAAGGTGGAGGCTGTTGCTGTGTGTGGAGCGTCAAAGCCTTGGGGGGCTCACCAAGGCCACTGGGCCTGACCGTGGCCTGGATGTCCCCAGGCAGACTGCCTCCTTCGCACCTAGGTGGGGGAAGGCCTCCTCTCCATCACCTCCCTCATCCGTCTGCTTATGTGGCCTCAGACACCCGTCTCCCCCTGGAGGAATCCTGGGTCCCAGGCATCCCCTGAGGTCCTGAGCCTGAAGTTGGTCAGCTGGGTCCACCCCCCCCCCACTTCCTCCCTTCTCCAGCCTTGCTCCGTCCACTGCCACTCACCACCCTGTGGTCACAGGCCCACCTTCCACCCAAGGGCCTTTGCACGTGCCATTCCTGCAGTCTGGGTGGTCTGTCCTCGGAGAGGTCTTCAGTGACCCACCCATACCTGGCCTCATCATTTTCTCTGCCCTTTGCTGCCTCCAGAACAAGCCTCACTAACACTTACTTAGCTTATTTATATGTGCCTTTTTTGCTTTCCTGGCTAGAACATGAGCTGTCTGAGGCAGGGACCATGTCTTGTTCACCACATCCCCAGAACCTACAACAGGGCCTGGAAGACATTGGGGCTCCCAGGCAACCCAGAACCCTGCAACCCCCAGGGCAGGGCAGGGCAATCCTGGGGAGGGTGTCCCCACATTCCTGCAGGGGGAGGCCTGCTGGGAGGACATGGTCATAAACGGTGTCTTCTCTGTTCCCTCTTATCTGTCTTAAAATAGCCCAGGTTTCCCTCAGCAGAGAAGCTGCAAGCACCACTGGCTGGGTGTTCCTGCCCCTGGTGCCCTTGCCCAGCCCCTCCTTACTGCCATACTTCTCCTCTGTGACCAGTGGCTAGCACGGCACCCTTCCTTCACAGCGGCGAGTGCTGGATGAGCATCTGTGGGAGGGCAGCCACCCCCATTATAGGAGAGACTTAACAGCCCAAAGGAAATAATCCCTAATGGTGGATTCCAGGCACCAGGCAGGACAGGAGAGAGGTAAACTTTGCAAACCTGCTTATGTCACATGTATGGCTGATGGCATGATGGCCTTTGGGGTTCTCAGGTGCAGGGACAAGCCCAAGACTGTGTGATACAGCCAAACACACAAGACGTCAGGGAGCATGCCTGCCCCCAGTGGAGCAGATTGGATGGGGACGATGCTGATGCGGCAAACCCCCAGAGAGGACCAGAGACCATCTGGAAACAACATTTATTCAGCTCTCCCCACCCCACCAAAATCTAATCCAGCAGATTTTCCTCTTTGCTGAGCGGATCCCAGACACGAAGGTGTGACCAGCACTCCCTCCGCTGCCCGCCACAATGACCGATCCTGGAGAAGAAGGGTCCTTCCCGGGGTCAGGCCACCTCACAGAGGGCCGAGACTGGGAGAAGAGCAAGTCCCAGCCGGGCCTGGGAACGAGCCGCTAACCAGTAACGGCCACAGAGGTATGAAGAATTCATTTCTCTTAAAAAACAAAACCCAAAAAACTCCAGTACAAAACTCCGGCGGTGGCCCAGCACTACCTCAGGGTTTAAATATAAAAAGGGGAACATCAGAAAACAGGCAAAAAAAAAAGCAAGACATCAAAACAAGGCCACATGCCACCTCCAGGGTGGTGGTCGCGGGCGCGGAGGCCAGCCCCGCCCCAGCTGCCCAGCAGCATCACTTGGGCAGGATGAGGTGGAGCACCACACCGAGCAGCAGCAGCAGCAGCATGAAGGGAAGCACCTGCTCGCACACATGGGTGGGGGACACCTGTAGGAGGAAGGTGGGAAGGAGTGAGGGCCCACAGCACAGTGTTCCCGGGAGGTTCTGGGTGGTGCGGTAATAGGCTTGCCCACTCACTCATTCTACAGCTTCACAGGTTCCCTCCTGTGCCCCCTGTGGACATGGGGACAAGTAGACTCAGGTGAGAGCAGGTGGCTGAAGGGAAGTCAGGGGCTGGGGGATGCAGAGGGAGCACCCCTGTGGGCATGGAGGAATCAGGGAGAAGGTAAGATCAAAAAGACGAGAAGCTGGGGAGGAAAAGAGAAAGAGGGATGTGTGACCCTGAGGACGTGGGGGCTGCTTGTCTGAACGTGGGTGAGAACACAGGTTTTGTCCCATGCATGTGGGAATACAGATGAGGGGCGATCAG